CCCCCCCCCCCCCCCAAATGTATCCAGATTTGGTAAAACGGTCAAACGACAGACCTCTTTTCGAGAAGTTGTTTGGGTTCCATGTTCGTCTGAGTGAGGGTATCATCCTTGAGCCTTTGTGACATGACTTTGTAAGCTTCAAAAACCTAACTCCCTAAAACCTCTGAACCCTGAACCCGATACCCTGAACCCTAAACCCTGAATCCAAATTTCTAAACCAAACCCCCTAAGCACAAATGCCAGATCCACAAGCCTGGGTTGAGTTTAGGGTTTAGGGTTATCGGTTATCGGACTATGTAGGTAAACTGCCGCACGGATCCAATGACCCTACGCTTGCCCACCTTCACTCAAAGAACAGGTGTGGGAACCCTAGATCAAAAGAGACCAAGAAATCCCCTAAACTCCAAACTCGAAGCCCGATGCACTTCATGTGAAACTAGGATCTCAAGGTTGTTGTAAGGGAATGTTCCGTAGTTAAGGGGTACTGGGCTCCGTTGGCCCCAAAACTCCCGAATCCTAAAACCATGGTACTTGGAGGTTCTGGGCCCTAAGCCCGAAACTGCTAAGCATTTGGGGGCTTAAAGGTTGTGGGGATCCTGATTTAGGGTAGTTGTTACGAAGCAATTTTGTTATGAAGCATTCTTATCATGAAGCATTCTTGTTTCAAGCAATGTGTTATACTTATGTTTAGGGGACTCACTGGGCTTGTGATTCGGTTCTGAGTACAAGTATAACAAGTAGGCCACACTGTCCCGGAAGCCGCGAGGATGTTGCCTCAAATCTAAGTAGGGGAGAAGTCAAACAACCAGGCAATGTTCTACAGTACTACCTGGATCCCCGAAGTGGGAAAATAATGCCCCTAGACCCTAAATCCTAAACCGCCCAAAACCCAAGCAGTCCGAAAGGCCTGATTCTACCTACTTTGAGGGTCGATATAGACTATAGTCTCTCCTAATTGTTATTGTTGACAACGCTAGTGTTGCGTAGCATGAATACCTGGCCTCAGATCTTTAGCCCCTTGGCCAAGCAGCTAAACACGCCGGTTTTGGGATTTAGGGTTTAGGGATAGGGTTTAGGGTTCAGGAAGTAGCTACAATTTAATTTTGGTCCACTCGGTGGATGGAGGAAATCTTGCACCACTTTGGAGGCCCAATATACGGCAGCTCCCAGACATTTGGTATAATGGGTGGTTTGGGGTATAGGGTTCAAGATTTCCTCCATCCACAGTTTCCCCGCATTCTTGTCTGCATCGAGGGACGCAAGCCCGCTTACTTTGGGGTATCTGTCTTCTAGGGTAGGCCCTAAACGCTTACGTTAGCCTGAGACCCCACAAGCCACAAACCCTAAACCTTAAACCTTGAACCCTAAACTAATGTCCCATTCCTCAAACCTCATAATCATTTCCATTCCTTTCTGATTCTCTCATTCGCAACTATTTATCACTACATACCGCTATATACCTGAACCCCAAATCCTATGCAACCCTAAACCCCAAACCCTAAACTTTACATCTAGAACGGCATCCCGTAACAATCCTACCTCAGGGCCCCGAGCCCCAGATCTGGGTTGTTGTTACGCAGGTTAACTCAAGCTACCATAATATGGGTATACATGGTTTAGGCTGATTAAGGTTTAAGCTGCCATAACGTGGGTATATAGTAACTAATCGGGGTTCCTTCTTATACTAATCTAAAGCAACCCATTCCTAAACCCGAAGCCCAAACCGCCAAACCCTCAACCCAAAACCCAACAACCTAAACCCTGAACCCTAAACCCCAAACCCTAAATCCTAATCAAACCAACGCGCTGCAAACAGTTCGACCCTATGACGCTGGCGGGATTCCGCACTCCGAGGCACTGCGGGCACTCTATGCCCCTTCATGAGGGTTTATAGGGTTCAGGGTTCGGGAATTCAGGGTTTAGGATTTATAGGGTTTTGGGTGTAGGGTTTATGGGTTTCAAGGTTTAGGCTTTACCTGGACCCCAAAAGTAGACAAAATCATGGCCCAACACTCTTAAATATAGCCCAAAACGCAATTGTTCTACATACTTTTGGGGTTAAGGTAGGGTTCAGGGTTAAGGGTTTAGGTTTTAAAGGGTGTAGGGTTTATGGTTTCAAGGTTTAGGCTTTAGGGCTCCTTGATTGATACTAGAGGTCCTAGGTTGGAGGAATCTTTCCACCACTAGATATACCCTATTTGTACCCCAACAAGTGCAAGTTTTGTGGGACTGAACTGGTGCAAGATTCCAATTTCCTCCATCCACCTGAGTAACATTGAAGGCATCATATATTTGTATATTCCTGACTAGGAAGCATATTGGGCTCTCGCGATGTTTGCACCCAATGCTTTCCATGTGAGCTTCAGTCAAACTCCGCAAAAGGGGGTTACATGTGAGACTATATAGGGGGAGTATTGCACGGTTTCTTCAGGGGGATACCAGGAGTTTAGTCCATATCTCATATAGGGTCATGTTTTACGGTTCAGGGTATGGGATCCTAAGGGTCTCGGGACCACAACTAGGTTGAAGGAAGGAGGATTTGGATGTCAGAGCTTTGTGGGTTAAACCCACAGGAGTAAACTTGAAGGAGCGAGCAAGTATATGGGTCTCAAAACCCTAAACCCTAATTCAAGGCACCAGGCACAACGAAAAGAAAACGACTTGGGAAGTTCTTCCAGTGTAGCGTCTTCTTTGGCTTAGCGCCCCGTGTGTGGCCACTGTTGAGAAAGAGTATCGCAGTTTGCGTAATGCATGGGCTTAAATGATAACTCCTGGATTGCTTGTATAGCTGTAGTTTGGGGTGCTTCAAGCAGACCCCAAGACGATACTGGCAATTATTTTGCGCTTACAGTGGATGCTTCTTGCAGGGTTGTCTATTGTAGTAGAGACCGATTCGGCTTTGTTTGTCTCAGTCAGTTTAACATTTGCAAGGGCGTAGAAGCTATCACTGTGAGGAACATATCGCGGGGTCTACAAGGGAATCATGTAGGAGACGATTTGCCGTTTCACAGTATTTTAAACATGCGCAGGGATTTATGAAGCGTGCGATTAGCCCGCATATTGGGGGGATACAATAGGACGAGACGAACGACAGCTAAATCCCTAAACCCTGAACCCCGTTTCACCTTCAAATACATAGTGGAGCGGTGCTCACATCTTATGTTGTACGTCGCGCCATGAGCGGGGCGGGGGGGGGGGGGGGGGGGGTTAAATTTGCCCATGGGCACGGTATCTTGCGATGCCAGTTTAACGCTTCGGGTTTATGCCGCTGGATTACTGTTTTCCCCTTCCCCCAAATCTTGACCACTCCCTTCGTTTGTCCTCTACGGCGTTTAGACTTAGGCAGTCAATTGCTAGAATGTCTTTGGCTGAGTAGTGCCTTCCAGGATCCCCCGACCTCAAGAATCCCAAGCACAGAGCGTTATAGGGATTATATGGGGGTTTCCCAAAATTAGGGGTACCTTTGTAGGGATCCCAATAATAAGGATTATGGTATTTGGGTTTCTATATATTTTTTTTTTTTAAATTTATTTTGGGAAAGTACCATATAGGGGTTATACAGGGAGAATGGAAATAAAAAAGGAAGCTGCTATTTAGGGTTTAGGGTGCAACCCGAAAGTAAGCCCCTCTCTTCGTCGAACGGTGAATATTCGTACGGTTCGACATATGTGTATTTCTCAAGATGTGCCCCATATCACCTCAAAATAAAGGCCTTCATCTTCCCTAAATAATGCCTACGTATGGGCAGTTCCCAAAATTGGGGAACAGTACCTTAGACCATGCTATTATTATTTTTTAGTATTATCCTTCGTATTGTTAGTATTATTAGTATCAGTTTTATTAGTATCATTGTTATGATTAGTATTATTATTATTATTATCAGTATCAGCATTGCTATTAGAGCTTTTTGCCATTACCTTCCTGCGCAGGTCGCCAGCGAAGGGTCTCGCCGGCGAAGATTTCCACTTGCGTGCCTAATTCCGACATGATTGTTGATCAAGATTCTTGTTTCCCCAGCTGGCCATTATTCAAAACGAGTTCCCCTGATTCTTCCCCATAGACCTACAGGAACCCTTTATGGTAGCTTCCCAAAATAGGGGGAACCTAACATAGACCCCAAAATACTACAGTCCTCATTATAAGGACCCCAAAAAGGTACCCCTAAACTTGGGAAACCCCCATATAATTCCGCAAAGGACCTTTGAGTCAACCCTCTTCATTTCCTGTAGACTTCCAGGAGCTTTCCGGGGGCGTAGTGCTGGAGGTTTCAGTCTGATCAGGTTTAAGGTTAAGGGCTGACCCTAGCCCCTCAACCCCAAAACCCTAAACCCTAAACAATATTAGGGGTTATATTGGGCTAAGATTAGGGTTACATTAGGCTAACATTAGGGTTATATTAGGGTAATATTAGGGTTATATTGGGGTCATCAACTTAGATGGCCCAACCCTAAACCCTAAACCCTGAACCCTGAACCCTAAACCCTAAACCCTAACCTCTAAACCCCCAAACCCTAAACCGTAAACCCCTAAACCCTAGACCCAAAACCTTTAAACTTAAACCCCGCCCCCAAACCCTAAACCCCTCAACCCTAAACCCTAAGCCCCAAGCAACCTAAGGCC